ACAAACATTTTTAGACTCACACCAGCTCTACGACTGCTGGCGAGTATTACACCCAACCGAACGGGAATACTTATACTACTCCTACTCCTCATGCTCATACTCGAGAATTGACATGTTTCTTGTACCACACAGATTCCTCAACCTTGTCAGCTCATGCCGGTACGCCTCAATCACCTGGTCAGACCACGCACCAGTCTCCCTATCCATCACAATCCCCTCCCTTCACCCCACCAGGACACAATGGAAACTCAATGACACTCTACTAAACCACTGACATACAAAACGAAATTGAGGACTCCCTGAACCAATACTTTGACCTTAACACACATCCAGAATATCCCTACCCCATAATCTGGGAAGCACACAAGAGCACAATTAGGGGTATGATCATCCAAGCAGCTTCTAGACTCAAAAAGCTAAGAGAATCATGCACACTTAGTCTAACCAGGGAAATCAGGAAATTAGAAGAAACACACAAAAAAGACCTAAAACTAGCTATGTACAAGACACTGGTAGAGAAAAGGACTGAATTAAACACTATCCTCAACGTCAGCACTAAACACACCCTAGCTAAAACAAGAAGCACTTACTATGCACAAGGGGGAATTGTGGACACCTCTTGGCACACGCATTAAAAAAACAAAGGGAATATACATTTATAGCAGCCATTCGAAATCCAGAGGGACAACTCTCCCACTCAATGACCAACATCCTCAAAGCATTTACAGATTTTTACTCCTCTCTTTACAATTTGAGACAAACACCCCCCGACACAGCAGACATTCAAAATTTTCTATCTCACAGGATACACACTACCATCCCACAAAATATCCGAGAATGCCTGGAAATTCCCATCTCAAGGGACTAATGTCTGCAAGCAATCAAACACCTACCGACAGGAAAGAGCCCAGGCCCAGACGGGCTGACAGACAAATATTACAAGACCTATGCCTCCATATTAGAGCCCCACTTCCAAAACTCATTCAACTCGCTTCTCAAAACAGACACCCTCCCTCCACAGACCTTAAACGCAAAAATCACACTACAACCAAAACCGGGAAAAGACCTGACCCAATGTGGCAACTACAGGCCAATATCATTAATAAACATAGACTTGAAGCTGTTCACAAAAATTCTAGCCAATAGACTCCGCCCACTGTTACCAGGATTGATCCACGCAGACCAATCAGGTTTCATCCCAGGTAGGGAAGCCAAACACAACACCACAAAACTACTAAACCTCATACACAAAGCCACAAGATCAAAATGCTCTAGTCTGCTCCTGTCAATTGATGCCAAAAAAGAATTTGACAGGGTAGACTAGACTTTGCTTTCTCACACCCTGCAGTATATGGGATTCGGCCCGCACTGGCTAAAGTGGTTCAATGCGATATATTCATACCCCACAGCAAACATACGTATCAACGGGCAATTGTCAGAGCCAGTAAAAATAACGAACGGCACTGGACAAGTCTGCCCCCTGTCCCCTCTCCTGTTCGTCCTGTTCCTAGAGCCCTTCCTCCAGGGGATCAGGGACAAAACTCAAATCAGGGGAATCACATTAGGTACAGAAGAGCATAAGACAGCAGCGTTTGCAGACGATATACTCTTCATGATTTCAGATCCCATAACATCCATACCTTCTCTGATGGCTGAGATGGACGTATACAGCACAATTTCCAATTTCAAGGCCAACCTCAGTAAATGTGAGATTTTACCATTACACATTAATTCCCAAGAAAAAGCCACCATACAACATGATCAGCAATTCGTCTGGGCCCCCCACAGTATAAAATATCTAGTAATCCACTTAACCAAAGATGCATCCCAACTATTTGAGAGTAACTTTCCTAATCTGATGAAAGGCATAAATTCAGACCTTAGTACCTGGAACAAACCACAATTCAGATGGTTCTGCAGGCTGAACATTCTAAAAATGAATGTTCTACCTAGAATACTATACATACTGCAAGTACTACCAATCATGCTACCAAAGTCATGGTTCACAATGGTTCGAAAAACGCTCACAACATACATATGGGCACACAAAAATCCACGACTGGCATATACACTCCTCAGAAGACCTAAAGAGGAGGGAGGTCTGGGCCTCCCAGACATAGAAAGATACCACCAAGCAGTCCTCCTAACTAGAATATACGACTGGACACTCCCACACTTCGCCACACAATGGGTAAAAATAGAAAATACATTCTTCAGAGCACCCATATACACAAAACCATGGCAAAAAAAGGACATTCGCTCCTCCTGAACATCCCTCACCCTACTATCTCCCCAACACTCCGCATGTGGGCCAGACTAAGACCACATCATCTGATATCCCCATACCCATCCCCTCTATACCCACTCACCCACAACCCACTATTTCAACCAGGGGAAGACGGCAGAGCTTTCAAACACTACCACAACTCAGACTACCTGCAATTAGATGATATCATGGACGACACGGGAGAACAGATAAAACCCCTACATGCCATCACAGATAGGCAAAATGCGATCCAAACATTTCAGTATAGAGAACTCACCCATTTCATACACACAGGGCCACTAGCCCACAAACCATTCTGAACTCGAACACAATTTGAACAACTATGCAAGGAACATCCCTTAAAGAAAAAACTAATTTTAGCGATGTACACCTGGAAAATTCCTACTAAAGACAATGTAATAATCTGTACTTTGTTAAAATAAATGAATAAATAACTTATAATATATAATTGTTAAGAGGTAATGTAAACCTAGGTACCACACTGACCACGTATGGTACTAGCTCCATCTCTTTATAGAGCGACAAAGCAGAAGACCTAAAATGTACTCCAACAAGGTGAACAGATGTTAATTTTATGCATATCTTTACACACTGTTTCTCACCTTCTCAATGTTTCGTTGAATTGAAATCTATTGTAAATGCGCAAATTTTCAATAAAAATTAAATAAAAATATTTTTGAAAATCAAAAAAGAAAAAGAGCCGTCCTTTTTTTACAGCCTAAAACTACCAAATATTGTAGCTGTGGTCACCATGGGTCGCAAGACCAGGAAGCTAAAACCCAATAAGCCCAGATTGGGCATGATATGCTCCAGCAAGCGCACAGTGCGTATAAGCCCAAGGTGACTCTTACTCCTCGGAGGAAATATCGTTGAGCACAAGGAGCCCTGTCTTACCACTTCCAGCACACACTTAGTTGATCCCACGAGGTGCTGACTTGGCTCTGGTGACGGCGAAGACCCTAAAAGAAATGTTATCTAAACTACAAAAAAGCATACAAGCAAGTGTGGTGGCACTCCGGGTAGACCCCACAGGCCTGGTGTGCAGATTGTGTTCAGTGGAGACTGCCACAGAGTCACATGTCCTGAAGATACTTACCCTTGCACAAGAGGTTCAAGCCCTAAAGAAATAGCACACAGTCTTTGAGCAATGCTTTGCCACAATGGAAAATGCAAGACGCCGCAACAACCTCAAAATTAGAGGTGTGCCGAAGGAAATACCGGCAGAGGAGCTTCCACACTTTATGAGGAAATTGACGATGTACCTACTGCCACCAAAGCCAGTCAAGAATGTTACCTTTGGTAACATCTTTAGAATCCCTAAACAACGGAAGAACCCAGAGAATTGGTGGTACGCTTTCAAAACAATAGAGAAAAGGCAGCGTTTCAGACAGCCTTAAAAGGACACCTCCTTACTCCTTTCACACTAACCATCTATGCTGATCTGTCAGGTGACACCCTACAATGACGGAAAACTACACTCCTTCACTGCCCTACTCCTGGACCATGGCATCCCGATTGGGCATTCCCCACCCTGGACTCTACTGGTCCTACACGGCTAATCCACTCACTCTATTCATGATCTGAAGGGAGTGGCTGTTCTGCTGGAGACCCTGGACCTTTCGCAAGACTCATTGCCACAGCCTGGACCACGAGCAGCATCTAAGTCTGCCCATGAATGGGACACTATGAAGGTCACACTGTTTATCCCTCAGAAGGCTCATTCACTTATGCTGCGGCCACTACTTGAGACCTCATACCACCAACAGGGTTTCACACTACCTAACTGACCGTAACTTCACAAGTTGTTCTCTTGTTTTTTTGTCTTTTACTTTGTTTTATTTCCTTTTATTTCATTTTCTCCAAGCCTTTGGCTGTTATTTTCTATTATTGATATGGCGTACTATGTGTTCAGTTGAGTCGATAAAGACCCTCTTACCCCGCTTGCCTCTATTATGACGTTTACGCAGATAGCTTAACTACACAAGCTCCAGAGGCAAAGTAATACATTGACACTCAGCCTTAAACCCAGAGTTCACCGATTGATTACATGTAGATATTGGCTGGGAGGTAGGCACAGGAGCTCAAGGAGAGAAGCTTCTAACAATTTCATATTTAATTGTTAAGTTGGCGGCCACACCTAGACAGTTCAATATGCACTATATTGATTCAGTGCCCCAGTGACAGTAGCTTACCCTCTGGGGATTATACTCTCTGCTACCAATAGTTGACACACTCTATCAGTTAATTGATAACTTTTTCTATTTCAAAAATTGTGCTGTAAGATCAATGCCATGCCACTGCTTTCCTTTGTTGATATTCATATGCTTACTATTGCTGTTTTGGCATCGTAAGCTCTGGTGTCTTTTTATGCACACAAAAATAAAGAATTTTAAATATGAATAAATAAATACATTTAAAAAAAAAAGGAGGGGTGAGACAATACAAAGAGCTATCCACTAAACACATGAGTGATATAGGTATATAGTATATTTTTTGATACATATGAAATCCACTTCCTTGTGGTTTATTTCTGAATAGAATGTAAGCTTATCTCTAAAGATTTCATTTGATATTACAATTCTTTTAAATTTGTGCAATTTTACGTAAAAATGTCGGTTGTCCAGGACACATGAACACTTTTTTGGACCTTGTAAGTATTTTTCATGTAAAAATTATAAAGAAAGAATATATCTAATCAATTTTCTAATTTTGGTTAAAAGAACACTTCATCAGAATTAAGGTGGAATGGTCAAGGAGGTCCCAGTGATGGCTTACCTCAGTGTGTTTACCCCAGCGTTTTCAAACCAGCACCCATCAGCTTTACTCCTTCTCTTCAATCACTCACTGACTGTGGAACGGTGGGGTACAACACTCCATGGACTTCAGATCAGACGTTATACTGCTCTACAATGGTTTGACCCAGTACAATGGAGGACGTGGATTGCCCGGGCACTGTAGCAAGATGTAATGTTGTTTGGAGATTTCTTTTAAGGAGGAATAATAATTTAAAGTGAATTTACTTTTGTTAATAGCTTACAGTTCCTTTTAATTAAACCAAATACTCTTTTGTTACTGCTATGTGAGCGACTCTGCAATTCAATCTTCTAAAAGTATGATTTTTTAATATTTTTAAGTTTAATTATTTGAAATTAACAGAGGTTAAGAACCATTGTTGCTATGTTACAAGATGTTGGCAACACAAGAAGTCAAAATAAAATATTAATATGCAGGAGATTACAACTGTAATCATAATTTCTGCCTTAATTTGATGTATCTGCTGTTTGCAACATTCCACAGGGTGTAATCTTTTTTTAAAGTAACATTTGGTAGCTTTATAATATCAATTACATGGTTGTAAAAAAGAAAGGCAGTCATGGGTGAATGAAAGTTGGCTTGGAGATCATCTAAAGTTTCTCAACTCCAATGCTGAAAACAATATGAATTCATCATGTTTTAAGGTTTTCCTCTTAGACTTGTGCATTAGGGGTCCTGTCACTTAAACCAGCCCACCTGTGAACAGTCTGTGATACACTTAAATTATAATTTGTTAGTGGTCCTTAAGGACTTCAGCTGAGAGACACAGGACTAGTCAAAACAATAGTGAACGTTGCATGAACTCCAAAGAAAATAAGCCAAATATATAAATTATATGTTTGGAACAAGGACTTCCTCATGGCTTAAGTTTATTTTCCAAAGTATTCCTCTAAGTCCTCTATTTATGTTTTTATGGGCCATATAGTGAATGCACTGTACCGATGCCCTACGTAAAACAACATTTGTCTGCGAATAAGTGTTCAAATGGATTCAGAATAATATTTATTTTTGTGGAACTCATGCCATGGAGGGTCACTATGAAGTAAATGTCTCCTGGATGTAGATTTTAAAATAATCATTGATATAAATAACTCTATATTACACTATATGTTATCTTTACATTATGTACACACAGTCTGCAATATAACCAATAATACAGCCAAAGAGCTAATATTTAAGCTTTTTCCATTCTATTGCCAGTGGAAATGCATTTTTTTTTTTTTGCATAATAATTAAAATATAAATACAATTTTAAGTTTTTTTTAAAATGCTGCCCATTTGCTGGTTTTAAGATGTCACACACAGGAAAAAATGCCCCCTGTCCCCTCTCCTGTTCGTCCTGGTCCGAGCTCGTGTGATACGCACAGATACCTGAATCTAGCCTGTAACCCCTTGGAGACTTGAGCCACGCTGCTGCTGCCTACTGGGAGAAGGCTGGGGAGAGGCGGCCGATCTCCTCGCCTTGAAAACGCCCATCTGGCTCGGCGGCAATCCAACCCCCCCTCTGGACCGGTGGGGGATATCCCGGTCCATACCGAACACACTGGGGCAACAAGCACAGACTGGCTCCCGGAGGAATGTCTGATACACCAAGCCACAAAATGTCGGCTACCTGCTTGCCGACCACGCAGCACTTACACCCCTCCATAGAGAATCAACGCAGCCTGGAATCTACACTGCAGCACCTGGATGACATTTTTCAGAGATTCTGGCGGAGGATCCTGGAGCAGGAGCAGACCGTCATGGCTGAGAGGGAAATCCCTCCTGATCGCACAGAGCAGCCGAGAGGAAACAGGCCTCCCCCGGGCAATGCACACAAGCCTGTGCCCACTCACTCATCTGCTTGCCCGCAGAACCCCTCAGAGCAAAACCCCCAAGCATCAGGCGCCAAAGCGGAGGATCACCCGCCGGCACAGGCGAATAAAATCTAAACCCACTACTAACCCAGAGAGAAGGAAGAGCCTGGCTCCAGCGAACACCAGAGTCAGCATAAAAATGAAGCAGGCACTCGTCCAAGCCTGGGGCGGAAACGAAGCCCTTCATCGCTATGCCAACACCGATCACGGGAACGCTCAAGCAGAGGCCCCACATATGCCACAAGCGGGGATCGGATGAACCAGACGCAGCACAATCTTCGCTCCCAGGGTGGTGACCACAGAGTCATCTCATCTTGGACTGGCGCTCACTCACTAACAATACCACATGGCCTGCCATTGTGTTATCATATCATTACTGCTTTGTTTTTGGTTTTTATCTCCCTCTTTCCCTTATACTTTCCCTCTCCTGTCAATAACACAACTATTTACTGTTTACTGCTCCAATTCTGAGGCACCCCAGAGGCCAGTGGTCCAATACCATGTGACAACCTAGAGCCCACGCCAGAACCCATCATTAGCCTGGTATAACCTTGTTGTCTCACTGCTTTAACCCAGTACCAATAGCATGTCTATGACTGTCTACGTTACAAACTTTATATACCTACATGTCTATGAACTTGCATGCATAGAATAGAACATCTTGCTTAGAATCTCCTCTGGACATGCTCTGCCTAGCCTGTACTCCCTATCACCATCAAAAAATGTGTAGTACAATCAAATGCCTTATAACTGTTATGCATTGTTCAGCTCGTTATCTTGCCATTGCTGTTGGGGCACTGCAAGAATGTCTGTCACTCTCATGCACACAAAAATAAAGAATTAAAAAAAATGTTTAAAAAAACAAAACAAAAAACGAAATACATGGAAAATAAGTCCCCTTAGACATGTTATTAGCCAGGAAGGAATTGTCTACAAGAACATTTAGTTTCTTGCTATAATGCTAAGAGGTCTACCTGTTGTCCACTCCTGTTAACGAGGGAATAGCTAACAATGAAACCCAGCCAATAAAAGCTGTCCAAATTAAGCCAAACAAATGTGAAGAGCCAAGAGCTGGGTAATGGGCTCCCAGGGCTCAATCCACTTGGTGACAGTTTGACACAGGGCCATGCTGGCACCAAAAACACTACAATGGGCTTTAGTAGGCATGGTATTTAGAGGGCCCCTTTAAGCAAACCACCAAAAAGGTAGAAAATTCCAACCAGATTGTTAGAGAAAGCAGGCAATCCCACTTTAAAATAAAAGCAGTGATTTATTTTTTCTTATGAATTCTTTTTTTCTCAGAATGTGACTTAAAACATGTATTATGTCCCACATGTATTCAAATATATGCAGGATACAAAGAACAATCGTTTTTATGCGTATTTTACTGGCAGTTTTCTATAAAGTAGTTGGAATTTGGCAGAATTATAAAAAAAAGGCTTGATTAATTTTCTTTTCAAATACTCGATCGTAATCTGTATAAATGAACACAGTTGCTAATGTTTTATTCAAAACCTACTGAGATTGTTTTGAACATTCAATAATTGGCATGCAAAGGTCATAATTCCGCTAAATTGTCTATGCCTTCATTTTTTTTAATGTAGTGTAAAAATATCTGGAAAGCATGTTTGTCTAGATTTTATGATTGTGTTTTAACTTTATAACGGAGCCATTTACGGTATATGTCAATTTTGTGTTTTGAATTTCATTAGTCCGTACTTACCCGAAACACGATTTAACATTGGCTGTTATTGATTATTGTGAGCAAATTCATTGGCAGTTTTCATTCTAGACCCTTTGTCAAGAATTCTGTTTTTTGTTCTACTTAATTCCAATTTCCAAAGGAAATGTTTGTTTCCCCTGGATACTTAGTACACATTTCAAAGCTCTGATGCAAACAAGAGAAGTGGCTAAAAACCTGTAAACAAATATATTCACAATAACGTAACACCTTTTAATGAAGAAACCCCTGAGTAAGTAAGAAGTAGGGCGTCAGGGTTCCTCCCGTGATTATGTCTGGGGGCCAAATTGCTCACTCCCACCGGAAACTGGACTCCTGGCAAATCAGCACAAGGACTTATATATATTTTGATATGTTCTCTCTGTAATGGCACAAAATGAGCAAAAACCAGCTTGAGATCTGAGCGGGGACCTACCGAAGGGCAGGCTACTTCATCTGCTGCCCGTTCTCAGTATACTCTTGCGACCCATTTTTTTGCTCTCCACAAGGTTAAAGGGATAATCCAGATGTGGACTCCTTGCTCACGGTGCCTAGGGAGATATCAGCTATCCCTCACTGATGATGCCTAACAAGGCTGAAACGATCGTCTGGGGTTGCTGTATCTCTCGTGCAGAGAGAACTTGCTGGCATTTCGGATCTGGACTGCCCGTATGGGTGGGACCAGTCTGATATGCTTCAGATATGTTCTCTCTGTAATGGCACAAGATGAGCAAAAACCAGCTTGAGATCTGAGCGAGGACCTACCGAAGGGCAGGCTACTTTAGCTGCAGCCCGTTCTCAGTATACTCTTGCGACCCATTTTTTTGCTACGTGTTTTGTCCTAAGTGTGGACTTCTTCAGGGTTCATCACTACAAGCATTAAAAACAAAAACAGCATGAAGCCCTCCCGCCTGAGTATAAATAGCCCCAGTTTTCCTTCTATCAGGGTGCAGAGTTTCCACCTTGCAGAAAGAATATTCAATAATAGGTAGAAAAAATGTCCGCCACTCCTTGTGAAATGATATCCCTTTAGTGGCAAAGCAGCAACGTTTCAACGTGTCTTTATCAAGCAATCTAATCTCCTCCCTAAACCATATTTAATTTAAACCATTTTAATTAAGGGATACTATAGGCACCAGAACAACTACAGCTTAATGTATTTATCCTAGTGAATATAATGAGTGCCTTCAGGCTTTTTGCAGTAAACACTGTTTGTTTACATCACAGCTTAAGGATACCTCCAGTGGCCACACCTCAGATGGCTACTAGAGGTGCTTCCTGGGACAGTGCTGCACACTGTGTAGGCCTGACATTCAGTGTCTCCACCCTCTGCATGCAGACACTGAACTTTCCTCATAGAGATGCATTGATTGAATGCATTTCTATGAGGAGATGCTGATTGGCCAGGGCTGTGTTTAGCATGTGCTGGCTCTGCCCCTGATCTGCCTACTTGACATGCTCAGCCAATCCTATGGGAAAGCATTGTGATTGGCTGTGATAAACACTTCTGATGATGTCAGCCAAGCACGCAGATCAATGGCAGAGCCAGCAGCACTAGACTGGAGTAAAGGTACAATGTTTACAATGTTTAGGGGACCAGAGGGGCTAGATGATGGTTTTAACACAATAGGGTCAGGAATATATGTTTGTGTTCCTGACCCTATA